GCCATTTATGAAAGTGGTCTATTTAACCTTAACTTTTAAAGTACCTCTCTGAAGAGGTGAATTCAGTGGTGATAACTTTTGGCAGTGGAACATCTGAAGACTTTATTTCATCAAGAATATAGTCCTGAAAACAATAAACAATTACTGAATAAGGTTGAGCAAAAACCAAATCAAAATATGGCAACTAATTTCAACTGTTATTGTTCTGGACTCACTAACGTTGTCTTCACGTGGAAATACCAAAGGATTATCACATGTGTGAGAGGCAAGTGAGTCCAGAACAATGGCAATTCAAATTGGACGGCATATTTCAATTCAGCATATGCCATCATGAATTATCAATGCCACGGTCTCAATTAAAGCAGAAAGCTGACACAGATAATACAGACATGAGGTTTGACAATTCATGATATCATGCAAAAAAACAAAATTTATTCAGTGTTTTGTTATACAATTTTTAAACAAACTGCAAAAGAAGACACTCCTCTCTGAGTGTGCAAATGTTGGAGAACACTACATGGATAAGGGGCTTGGAAACTAGGTAGACTGTTGACCACCACTATGTTAAAGAGAATGAGAGATCTCTCTCTCTTTATCACTATTATTTTTATTTAATACTATTATTCTTTTCATTTTTGTTTGTTTGATTTTTTTTCCTATCCGAGCTAGGCAAAATGTTGTGAGAAGAGGCTGCCTTAACATTTAGAGGGATAGAGGGATGCTGTTTGAAGGCCTATCATAAGCAAGACATACAAGGGAGACGTTCCACTTTTCTTCCCAACCTTTCCCCCCTTCCCCTCCCCCTGTAGGTTAAGGATGCCAGATTTATTTGTTAGCACCTGTGAAGTTTGCGGTAAAAATTATTCTTGCAGGCTCTGTACCAAAGGGTGTCAGCTGGAAATGTAATGTCCTATTATATTTCGTTCGCTTACATTGAAGGCACATAGTAAAATTTGGCCAAAAATCGCACTTATGGCATTCAATACGCTTTAATTTGCTAATTTTATTTAATGTTTAGCTGTATTTGATTTTAATTAAGTAGTATTTTATTGTACACGACCCCACAAGCTTTTAGCTTTCATACATATCGTATAAATAAAGATGACCAACCAACCAACCAACCAACCAACCAATTGCAACCATCATGGTTGATATAGATATCAAATGGAAGATTCTAGTCAGTTCCATTCAGTCCATTCCCATATACACTCAAGGAAAAAGAAAGAATAAGACCTACCTCCTCTTGGTCTGTAGTGTTGATCACAAAGACTAAAGATATGGAAGAAGGATCGCTCGTGACACAATGAATCTTCAGAAAACTCGCGATAACTCGTTCAATACTCAAACCCCTACAAGCCACACATAAACAATAATGAGGTGCGATATAATAAACTAATTTACGCTCTCCTTGCTGGTGTACTTACTTGGCTGTGACAAACAGCCCGTCATCGTCCATAAGCTCTAAGAACATAGCGTTTTCATATTCGGATAATGCCGCCATTTTGAAAGTCCAAGAATTACCGCTGGCCAAGGAAACATCGCTCGTAACCTCTAGAACCCAGGACCCAAGACAATGGACCGAATCTTAAAACTTGTCGCTTGCAGTAACTTGCCCTAATGATTCCTGCACTGTGGGTGATGGGAGTCACCAAAGCACAACAAGCTATAGATCGCTATAAAAATAAGAAAGTTATTAACTGTGAGTGACAAAGTCATATGAATTGAGCTCTAGCGAGAGCAGTAGAAATCATAGTAGCCCTTGCCTGCGTCACAGACGGTCTAAACCGCCGGTAGAGAGCAACACTCTCTTCGTTAATAATAATAATTTATTGACTTGTATTGCGCAGTTATCAATATACGAACTTTCAATTGCGCATTACAAAGAAATGTTAAAAATTCAACTTTGCATAGAGTTACTCATTTTCAATAACGCGACAGCACAAATCTCAATAACCTGACAAATCAGACACAGCCTTTTGGATGTTTTGGAATGTAACCCAAAAGCTCTCTGCAAAACATATACAAAATGCACGCGAACAGATTTATTTTTATCATTGCATAATACATTTCGCAAGATCATGACCGATCACAAGGCGTGTAAGAAAAAGTAACCGATCATCATGGAAATGGAAAAATCCGTGTATCCATGCGGGATATTAGAAGAAGCTTTTGGGAGCCTTTGTGCAGACGGACTATACCGAGCATTTTGTGACACGTCCGGCTGCAATGCATGCTAAGTAGCCCAAGAGGCCGAGGAAATCTGCACATGGAGTTTTCCCAATGTTTAATGGAGGCTTTTCCCAGTGAACTAGGGTTTTTTGTCAGAGGCCGCCGTTTGATTGAAAAACACTTTACGTCACCGGTTCGTTCGTACTGATCATGGTCCTGATCGCGAGAAGTGGTTTACTGAATATATTAAGATCTGAAATACGGCGACTGATTTTCGGCTGAAGCAAAATATAGTCGTCATGTGGTAAAAAGCAAAGCGAAAAACCACTTCCATCATGTTTCGATATGACAGTGGACTCAATTAGAAGTTGTTTTCTTTCGGAAAAGAATCAAACACGCCCAGTTGGCAAAACTGCTTTTGGTCAGATTTTCCGTGATATTTATGGCACGTTCGTCAATCTTCCATGGTCAGTTTTGATCCCTTAGTAAAGTTTGGTCATTCGGTTCGGTTCGTTACGTAAGTCTTAGACTGATATAACGTTTATAGAGTGCAGATAATTGTTGACATCTTTTTGAAGGGTTTTTTTTTTCAATTAATCAACCGACTTACCAAAATCTTTCGTTGAAAATAGACAGTAATGCTGTATTCATAGCATTAAACGGACTCGGCAGCCCTGCGGTTTTAGGTGAACGCTGAGTTTCGAAGTTACGAGAGGTTTGGGAAAGAAAATAGGAAACTCGGAGGTCGTCTAATCATCGCAAAAACCGCTGGTAGTATTCTTTCTTTTCTTTTACCAAATACATTTAATACTTCAATTGCGCTTGAGAGTTATCCTACGAAACTTAAACATGTAAAGGTAATTCCAGTATATAAAGAGGGTGACGAGACAGACCCTGATAATTACTGACCCATCTCACTTCTCTCAAACTTTAATAGAATCTTTGAAAGATTGATGTATGTACGTCTTAAATCTTACTTAAGTAAGGCAGATATTCTTGTTCCATCTCAATGTGGCTTTAGAGAGAAACACTCCACCCAGTATGTAACGCTAGATATTATCAACACTATTCAAAACAACATGGACAATAAGTTGACGGTATACCCGTGGCATCTTTATAGGCATTCAGCACAGTAAATCATGAGAATCTTCTGCAGAAATTCTATCATTACGGAATAAGAAGAATAGTCAACAACTGGTTCTCTTCTTATCTTAAATTTCGTTCGCAGACAACTAACATTGGCCCCCATATTTCGGAAAAGGCTCCGACTGATTGTGCCGTTCCCCAAGGCTCTGTTCTGGGGCCTTTACTGTTTTTGTTGTGTACAAATGATATTACAAATTGTTCAAGTTTTCAGTTTGCTGATGACACCAGTATCTTGTATGGTAGTAATAACCTTAAAGAATTAACCCTAGAATTAGAAGTAAACGTTGAGTTGACCAAGCTTTGTGAATGGCTGACAGCAAACAAATTAACACTAAATGCTAAGAAATCTAATTATGTGATATTTCGAAATTATAGAAAGAAGCTCTCTTTCCAACCGACGATAAATACCTTTGACATCGATAAAATGTCATGTTCACCATTAGAATGCAAGGATTATGTAAAATATCTTGGCATACTCATTGACAAGAATCTGAACTGGAAAACTCATATTGATCTCATTGCTCTAAAAATTAGCAAAACCATTGGTATGATAGCTAAACTAAGACACCTTGTACCCCTTTCTATCGATTATTGTCGGCAAGTTATATCAGTCACTTGTTCTCCCCTACCTTACTTATGGAATCAGCTCGTGGGATCAAGCGTCACAGTTAACTTTGGATAAGCTTCTTCTCCTTCAGAAGCGAGTTATTCGTTTAATAAACTTTTCTTCAAAGTGTGAACATGTGCTATTCCTTTTTTTATTAATCTTAATATCCTGCCTGTTCATTTTCTTTTATGTCGAATCAGTTTCTTGTTTCATGTATGATATTAAAAATAAACTAGCTCCTCCCTGTATTCAAAATCTAGTTACGTATGTCTCAGATATACATTCCTACAACACCAGATCAGCAACTACCAACAAATTTATGTCATGTCATCTCGTCTTGAACAACTTAAGAATTCTTTTTCCCACTTTGGCGTGCTGCTATGGAATGCCTTACCTGAGAGTATTAAAAAATCTGCCCATAAAAATTTATTTAAAAAACAAATACATGAAATACTTATTAATATCTTCAAACCACAGAACTTGTATCTTACACCATCTTCAATTCTTGAAATAATTAAAAATTTGTAAACCTCATCAATGCTCTAGTTACGACCAGTATAGCGAAGTCTCTTTCTATTTCCTGTTATTATTATCATTAAATTAATTTACTATTTTGATTTTAATTTCCTATTCATTGTAATTTGAACTACTGTTTTCTTAGTGTAATCTGAACTGCTGCAAAATCGACATCTTTGTAAGTACTTAGTGATAAGCTTAACTTAATTATACCTACCCGCCTCGACTAGTTTTCAACTAATTTTGGGTAGGCACTTCTCAAATTGTAATTTTTGTAAATCAATAAAAATTGTTGTTGTTGTTATTCATCCTCGGAAATGATGGTTGGATGCGATCCGAAGAGGTTCCAAAGAGGTTCGTGGATGAGTGAATTATCCTTCTCTTCGAAAAGTATGTTTGCTCCGAGTAACCAAGCTGTGTCTCGTTGTTGATAAGATTCTTTGGCCTCGTTAACAGGCCACACTGCCTTGATTTTTATTTTTAATATTTGGATATTATCTAATTACAAGTATATGTTTAACTGGCATATACTCTTTTTTTTTGTTGCAAATGCACTCTACACCAAAATGTTACTTATAATAATTGGTGAGAAACAATAGCGCATCTAAGCAGAGAGAGTTTTTTTTCTTAGTAACTAAATGGAGGCACGACATAACAGTCTCGTGAAGCGAGTGAGTGAGTGAGTGAGTGAGTGAGTGAGTGAGTGAGTGAGTGAGTGAGTGAGTGAGTGAGTGAGTGAGTGAGAAGAAGCTGAAAGGAGTGAGCCGGACATAGATAGGTCACCTTAAGCTTATGGAAGAGAATCCTAAAAATTAAGAGATACTAACGTAACAATCGACGGAAAGAGTAGCCTAAAAGTGTGCAAAATTATTAACGTAACATTCAAATTAAAAATAAGCTTAAAAGTGCGCGAGATACTAACGTAAAAATTCAATAAAAGAGAATCTTAAAACTGTGCAAAATACGAACGAATACCAATCGAGTGAAAGAAAATGCACGAGATATTAACGTAATAGTCCAATGAAAGAGAAACATAAATATGTGCGAGATACTGACGTACAATCGATCCGCGAATGAAAGACAATCCTAAAGATGCACGAGATACTCACGTAACAATCGAAGGAAAGAGGACCTTTTGAAATAAGGCACGAGATATTTAGGTAAAAATCAAATGAAAGAAAAACCTTGAAGTGTGCGAGTTGATTGCGTGACAATCGAATGAAAGAAAATCCTAAAATTGCGCGAGATACTAACGAAGCAATCCAATGAAGGAGAAGCTTAATAATGCACGAGATATTTACGGAGAAAACCTTAAAGGTAAATAGAAACCTTTAAGTGTACGAGTTGTTTACTTAACAATGGAATGTATGAGAAACCTGAAAGTACGCGAGGCACTCACTTTACAGTACAATGCGAGAAAATTCTAAAAGTGTGAGAGCATCTTAAGTTCGATGGAACTTGGATTATCTTGGCAGGCACAAATCTTGAATTCAAATATCATGCCATTAGTGAATAACTGCTTTGAAAAGTCTGTCTATCCCAGTTTCCATAAAAGCATAGTCTGGCTTTAGAACTGCGCATAGTTTATTATTCTACATCACATACTTTTGAGCTGAGTAACTTTGCAAAGAACTATCTGGGACGTAACAGTGCTCAGCTGTGACAACGATCTGTTTGTTTTATGTCTTCGGAGGGAATTCAAGGACGGAAGAATTCTAAGCCATCTGAAGCCACTTGTTATCTGTTTCGCGAACGTCCCTTGCCTAAAAGCGCCAAGAATTGGATTTATACAGGAATTTAAGCCAAGAAGAGCTATGGGAAACCAAAATCCGAACACAAACAGCATCTCATTGTGACGGTCACTCCTCAGTGTAATCTTATTATGAATATCCTCAACGGGTACAAAGATAATAATCAAAATCATTGGTGCTAAAAGTAAGATGAAATTGCTTCCAACTACGAGAGCGATTTTCTTTAGGATGGCTTCCTCCCTTTTTATCCCCAACTGAGCACCTGAGCGGCGAACGAATAGAAATATACGCAAGTATAGTGGGATATTCGCGATGTAGAGTGCCACGAGAACGCACAAGCAGATGAGAAATGTGTCTCGCTCCGCCACCGGGAAACTGCACATCATTGTTGCGCTATAAGAGAGATTGAGAAAGTGAAACTCGGGGGAGATGGCGTATACGAGCGATAGAATCCAGCAAAATACCAAACATATCGCGGCTACCTTTTTGCTCAAGCGTCGGTCGGGATTCATGCAATGTACTATGGAATAATACTTTTCCACAGTCAATAAGAAAGAAGTAACTGCTGCAACACACTCGGCTGAGGTGAATATGGCGGTGGCAAGCGGACAGAGGACTTCACCACCAAGAACAAGCTTTTTGTCTTTCTTGTCAGTCTCAATGCTGGAGAGGAAACTGAAAATGTTTAAATTGCCGATGAGTACGGAGTAAATCCCAATTAACAAGTCGCACAGCGCCATGTTTAAAATCAGCCACATGGATGTTGATCTGCGAAGAGATCTTGCAAAAATAATAGTGATTAGGACGATCAAGTTGAGCAGTATAGCAACAGTACCCATCACATACGAACTGTAGAATAGTTTCTTTGGAACATTGATAGTCTTGACGTTTTTCTCGTGTTTGGGGTGTTTGAACGTTACAGCAGAACAGCTCCTATTTGATGGACAAAACAGCAGATATCCATGCTCGAAAAAATTCCTAGCTGGTCTTTCGTCATTATGATCCATGTTGGGTGCTAATGAAAAGGATAGTTCTTCCTTGAACAATGTACAGTTTGCGCAATTGTCGCTCCACGTTACACCTTCAACAGTTCTGAGAGATGGCATTTTCAAGATATTACTATTTGGTGTCCAGACACTCCCCGTCACGACTAAGGTCTTCAGGTTTGGAAGCTGTCTGATGACGTCACCTTTCCATCTGCGAAGCGGGTTAAAGCTCAGATCGCTAAAGTGTCAAAGGAATTGTCATGAATGAAAAAATTGAATCTACAATGACGTGTGTTAAGTTGAGTACTTGCACAAACCAAATTATTGTTAAAATAGTTATAAAGGTCTTTCGAGAGGTTTTGAAGTTTCTAACAAGTTCCGTTTTCTGGTGAGCATCCCTCTCTTTCTCCCACTAAACAATAAATCCTTATTTGTAGAATAGAATAGGTAACGTTTCAATGCAAAATATGCTTATATTTTAAAGCTTACAACAGTTTTCGTTTGAAATATGTTCGTTTTTTAACGATACAAATACTCAATGTAATATGGTTTTCAACATCAACAGTTGAAAATGAAAGCCTTGGTAATTGATTATTAAGCCTTAATTCGTTGACCAGTAACAGCATTTACATCGGTGTGGTAGATTTGGCAGTAGGAAAAGAAATATACTCTGAAAGAGGAGGTTACATAAATTTCTCATTAATCAACCTCGTCTCTAAAAGGTAGTTGTGATATGGTTTTACAAAGGAAGTTGTGATATGGTTTTACAAAGGAAGTTGTGATATGGTTTTACAAAGGTTAGTTTGATAACAAGAAATACAATTTTCCAAAAAAGCATTGCACAGTGGATAAATTTAAACGCCTAATTTTTTGCCCCTATTAGTTCAGATTTATTCTAACAAGAAAAACGCTAACATCCATTCACTTACAATCGGTAAATAAAAAAAAGCCCTGAAATTGAGACAAACTATACTCACAGAAAAGTTACATTGAGTAAACTTCCAAAAGCGCCATCTTTGATCACAGATATCTGATTGCAAGCCAACGACCTAACACCAAAACAAATCATTATTATTAATATTATTATTTATACAGGTAAAAACGAACGATATAATATCCCGACGTTTCGGCGACTTCATGACGCCATTATCAAGGGTACGAATGAAAATAAAATTAACAAATGCGAGTTCAAGAGTTACAACTAATTTGTATAGGGGAGGTAGCTACGCAAATACTTTAGTACGGATAGAATCTGTTTGCACGTTCAAACTCGGTGTTAATTGTTTGATGTAAAGTATCTCGTTGACAAGACAATCGAATTTGTTCATGCACTTCTTGAGAACTTTGAAACAGCTAACAAGGTCCTCAGGGACAGTACCTGTGTGGTCGTTGTCGTAGTGCCTGCGTACTGAAGATGACGTGCTCTTATGGCTATCCACGCGGGCATATAACTGCCCACATGTGAAACCAAAATAGCTCCCTGTATCGCACAGGTTACATTTAAATTGGTACACTACGCACTGTTGATTAACCAGCTGTGATTTGGTTTCACATTCTTTAAGGTCTTGGCCAATTTTCCGACTGACAAATACGGGCTGGATTGTGGTTTGGAGCTTAATGCTAAGGTCTTTCAACTGTGTCTTAACAATGTTAGCGGAGTCTTGGTCCTTGAAGGGTATGACTACTCGGGTTACATCATTTTTCGCCAATCTTCCCAACGCCTGCAATGGCTGCTGGTCAGCAATTCTCGAGTTAATAAAGGTGTTAATGGCGGAGTTGATAAGGTGGTGAGGGTAGTCCAAACGTGAGAATAAATTCTTCAAGCGCTCACACTCCTCAGAAAAATAAAGCCATGAAGAGGACAAACGGTATGCGCGATCGAGCATAGTTGTTAATAAGTTCCGTTTGTACCTGTTGTCAACGTAACTCTGGTAGTGGACAAGTAAACCAGTATTAGTAGGCTTGACATAAACTTTCGTCTCAATTTGGGGTGCACGGTTTAGGAGCTGGGTGCCAAGAAAGGGGAGCATGCCATCTNCTAACTAAAATTAAATATCATTTACTGCATAAAATTAAATAGCAATTACATTAAATCACTGCTATCAATAGCTAAACAGTAGAGTCTTAGGTCATTTTTGAAGATAGAAAGTGATTCCCTTCTCCTAATAGATATAGGTAAATTGTTCCAAAGACGAGCAACTCTGGGAAAAAAAGACGACCTAAATAATTCTGTTCTTGCATAGTTAGTTTTAAAAGTTAGTCAATGTTCCTTAAATTATAGGGCTCATGCTCAGAATCATAAAACTGCAGATGACTTAGAGATGTCGATGTCATAATAGCGTTAACTATGCAGGCATTTAAATAAAAAAATTAAGTCTAAATAGATACGTCTAGAAGATAGTGAAAGAATATATAAACCAAGAAAAGAGTCTTGGTTTGTATATTTTTGCATCTGATACTTTTCCCGCACTCTTCTGAGAATTGATCTTTTTCTGTTATGTTTCTTTTCGTTTTGTTTTGTTCCATTATTTTTCTTTTGTCAAGTACTCACAGATTCACTAAATGAGTTTGATTCACCAGAAACTCTGTGGGTATGTCCTGTAGGTTGTTCTTCGACAAATCCCTAAAAGATAACATAAGGTTTGGAATAGTGTGGAAGAAGTGTCGAGGTTAAAAAGTGAATTTTCAATAAGCAACGTGGGTGAGGATGAAGCACCGTTTCGTCTCAACTAAGACATGTATCACATACCTTACAGAATTCTTAAACATGTTCAATGTTCTGTTTGCAACGATCAAAGCAGCCTGGCCCTCTATCGCAGACCTATGTCTAAAAATCCGAGTAGTAACTTGGTCAAACTAAGAAAACGCTCACGGATATGACGAATTTTAGTCAAATTCGTCAAAGCGAAATCAGCTTGGCAGAACTGACTTTGTTGATGAATTTTAGTCAATTTTATCAAAGCGAACTTGGTTTGGCGAATTGACGATTTTGACGAAATTTCATCAAATCTGCAATCTTCGTTACTACATGCATGTCTGGACATATCCTATCGCATAGGGTTTCCCAACCGCGCAAGTACAAGAACTATGTTCACAGAAATTCTTTATGACACTCCGTAACTGTTTTCGTGACTAACATAACTGATAACTTTTTAAGGCAGAGGAAATGTTTTCTCGACGAGTACCTTCCCAGGGTGTTCAGTATACTTTGCACCATGTGGACTTGAAAAAGGAAAAAGTAATATCAGGAACTAGGTTTTGAGAAAAAAAAATGAGAACTTTGATAACGCAAACCTCTTTGAATCCCTGGCTCGTACAGCAATTCAAGTTGAAGAGTTTTCAATTTGTATCCATTTTTTTTTTTACTCTCACTGTTCTTTAAAGTAATAATTGACGGGTAGTGTTACTTACAAGGCAGTATTACTTACAAGGATTTAAAGAGCACCATAGGCTTCGGTGGCCCTGTAGAACCATTAAGCTGGCATCTAGCATCCCATAATCCTTTTGGTAAACAGTTACAGCGCGTGTCTATATCGCAATGGAAGGTAGAGTTGTTGAGACTCTGGACACCAGCTACCACATTTCGTAGTAACAGATAAGCGGCAATGAAAAGCCAAGATGCCTCCATTTTACCTCAACTGAAAAGAATAAGAAAACATTAAAACACAACTTTCCTTTTGAAATGAAAAATATGCTTCGTTTTATCTCGAGCTGGACCAAAGAGAAATTCCCAGTCCCTCTCGACTAATCAAACGCCCTTCAGGTTTGGTTGTGTAAATGCTCCACCAACAAGCTATTAAAAAAATGATGACAAACAAGGCAACTGATATACAAGCGTCGCCAAAGACTTGCCGTTCGGCAAGGCGATTGATCAGTCAAACATTTCTTCGGCCTTAACTATCCAATAACTGCAATGATCAGAGAGCGATCTTCGTAGTAATAAACATTAAGCAGTGGTGAAAATAAGGCCTGAAAAAAATTCAGGCCTTTACGGGATTTGAACCCATACCCTTTGTGATACCGGTGCAGTACTCAACCAACTGAGGTCTTATTTTCACTACTGCTTAAGTAGTATTCATTACTGCGAAGATCGCTCTCATATTCATTTCTCTAACCGCAGTTCACATATATGACTTTCATATATTCACAAACATTGACTCGATAACTGCAGTTCACAAGCGCTGAGCAAGGAGTTTAAAAAAAAATCACTGCCTGTGGATGGCCATTGTTTGAGTCTTTCAAGTTTAACAAGGTCCGGCTAATTAATGAAATTCACAGTCATTCATAAACAGATTTCAAAGAGAAGTTGCCTTGCGCCGGAGAATCGGTCGTGTTTCTGAAGCGCTTTTTTACACAGAGCAGTGTATTTCTAGATAAGAGTAAAATAAGTTCTCTTCAGTTATCTTCAAAAGTTTCGACTTCTCTCTTGTAATGATTGATTGGTATATGTCAAATTTTATCAATTCCGATTCGTCCCTCATAAATGTATTTCAAATCAGATTGTAATTTAGTGAAATAGATGTTTGAGCGTAAGTGGAGCAGCAATCTCCTACAGAATAACAGGAACCCTAAAACCTGACCACCGCCTCTAGCGCCATTTTTTTTTTTTTTTTGCCACTGAATTGGAGGTCCAAGTGGTCAAAATGTTTCTTTTAGTTTGTTTTAGATTGAAGTTTGACATGATAAGCAAACGATAATTTTGGCGTAGCAATGAAGAGTAAACAAAGTTCTATTCAGTACAAAACGGAATTTAATTTGAAATTTGAATTACTTTCATTGCATTGCGCACTGAATTCTCTTCAAATCCGGCAAAATGACCAGATGGAGTTGCTGGAAGCAATAACCGGTATTTGATGAATTCAGAAACAAATGAAATAATTTAAAGATGAAACGATCAGGCCATGTAACTTGAAAATTGAAAACGGATTAAAAACCTCTTCGTTTAATTTCTTTCCGGACTTAAAGGAAATTAAGTTGAAACCCGATTACCTTTGTATTTTCTAGCAGTTGAGCAAATAACTTGCATAATCACATGACCTGTTGGACCCCGATTGCGCAATCCCATTGAGAACCATAGTGAAAATGGACGTATGTAAGGCCGAAAGGGTTGACGTGAGCCGGTCCGGAATAAAATTTTTCCGGCACTTGTACGGCGACATTGTTCGTTGTTGTTTCAAAAGTTAAGTGACAGCAGTGAACGAAAAAGAGGAAATAAGTCACGTTTTTCGATGAATTCTGACTGGCAAAAATAAAGGAAACTTTTTAATTGCAAAATATTTTTAGTGGTTTTCCCATACGTGCCAGCCTACCGCTTTCAGTTCAAGTCAGTAGAGCAAATCTCTTTAGAATTTTTCAAAACTTAGTCAGAGGTCATATGATAAAATGTTTCTTGACTGAATTAGGTTGGGCTGAAATCTCTAAGTCATGACGCGAACGGACCTCGCTGCGCTCGGTCCGTAAGTCATGACCTCCCGTCCAGCCCTCCCACTCGGTCAATAAGCACATATTTTTAATACATTACATCTTTCCTCGCTGAATTTGAAAAAAGTATTCCTGGCTACCTTTTCTTTTTATTACAAGGATGCAAAATTGGATATAAACAACCCAAGTAATGAATAACCTAATCAGCGTCCCGGTTCAGTTTAACGCAGTTTTTTAGTGGCGCTTCCATGGCATTTGATTTAGGATTTTTTATTCATTTCTTTTCAAGTTTGCCTTACAATTCTCGATTGATCGGAATAATTCTATGGTAATCGCTTTTATAATTGAAATAAATAAAATTTCAGCACGCTTACCGTATCTAACCTTTACTAACTCACAGAAAGTCAATAACGCAAACCTGAACAGTGTTTGTCAGGATTCTGCAGCGGCAAGATTGAAAACACAGTTTTGTTTTCCTGCACATGAATAAATTATCGACCTCCGTAAGTACCTTTCAGTCCGGATATGGGTGCTTATTTTTCGTTACTTTTTTTTATTTTTTTAATCTGTACTACCGGAATGGAAGGTATCCGTTTCCTTCTCTGCTGGCATGTTACGGTACATTTTCCATTGAACAGTTTTCGAAGTGATGCCGTTTTTAATCGTCTAGCGAAGATCCAATTTTAACATCCCTTAGCTCGTTAGTCTTAATGGCTCTTTTGACAGTTTCCGCTTGATATTTACAGAGGTGTCCTTCATCGTAACTATTATCTCTTTCGCAGACTGCGGATTACATTTCATCTTGAGGTTTAATTTCTCCTTCACCATTCCGCTTCGATCAGTTTTAAACTCTCCATACCGCACTGAGTTATCCGCTTAGTATGTTTTTGTGTGACTACGGTTCTCTATCAAGCGAGCCCCGTCGACTTTTTGTTTTCATTTCTTTTCAAGAATGTTTTCCATTACAACAGCTTTTTCTCATACTAAGATTTTTTAAGTATTTACATGCGTTTTATCTCAGCAATGAGCGACACTTTGTGAGATAAACTTCACATACAAAACAACATTCCAAATTCGATGGGCACCTGTTTATTTCCAACTGGGAAAAATGGCTCAGTGAAACCATTTTAGTGTTGATGTTCTTTACTAAGCTACCTGAATGATACCTTTGTAATTTCTCTTAACTAATGCTACCACGAGCTTACGAATTCAGTCTTCTGTCACTGAACTGAGTCAAATGATCAGCATTCAGACGAAAATCATTATGTAGCCGAGGAAATCTAGTAGTTCTTGAAACCACTATCGAATGATAGTTTAACGGAAATCTCCACTATGTAAAAATGTAGACTCATCAAAAAAAAATTCAAAACGATTCTTCAGGGAATATAAGAGAGAAAAATGCATTTTTGAAAACCCCAGCGCGTTGTTTGTGGAGCAAATATAACAACAACAACAAAAAATGAAAAGGTCACCCTTTAACTTAGGAAGGATCAGTTAATTGGGACGGAAGGAAGGGAATAGATTACATACGAATGTTTCTTTATATTTCCATGCATACAATTTCGCTTGATGCGCTCAGTTGCCAGAGAACAGATCGATACTGCTAAAATAACATCGAATCCGACACTAGACGATATCACCACAGCAAGAAATGGATATTCCGTCTTAGTACTTCAAACTCCCGTTTAATTTCCAAATCACTTTCCCTTAAGTAAGGTATATGCTTTTCAAAAATTACGAACCACACTTAATTCGTTTGTCTAAATGTATCTCCTAATGAAACTCTCGATTTATAAGTAAGCTTAATGGAAGCATATTCTACCCAAAGGTTTCTTTCAAAGTAAAGAGCAAACAAATTCTTTCCTAACTCGTTAAGAGACGCTTCAATGTTTCTCCTTCTTCGTTTTCTTTCTCTTCTTCTCTCTTCTAATAAGATTTAGTTACTGCTGCTATAAGATTAACGTTTCTAAGCCGGGTCTTCATTAATTGTATTTATCAGCAAAGATCCACCACTATTTGAACTGGAAGCGAAAAGTTGCAGGTAATGTTTGTGTGTTGGTGCCTTCATTTTTTTTGGAAGAATAGTCTTCTAAAAATTTAACTCCCAAGATTCAATAAAAGAAAGACGATGGATATTCACAAAGTCGTAACTTAGGTGCCTACGTGTGGCTGATTTACATGAACTGCGTTCGAGTCTGCGACACTCTGTCAGAGAGACCTCGATGAAGATTTGTTTATGTACTTTTTACCGATGGAGTTATTAAAATGTAAAACATACCGTGAATATTCGACATCAGGGGAACATATACCCGTGAAGAAGTCGGTAAATCACTCAAAAACTAATGAGTAAGTTCGTACAGACTCGCAAAGATTTCAACAGTGTTTGCTTTGTCGGCGATGTTTTTACCTGCTTTTAACTTCCTGCTACTTGAATCAAAGATTTGAAAATTCACCTTCTTATACCAAGAGCACTGTTGAAAACTCGCTAGGAACTAGGCTCTCCAATCCAGCGATTGATACCCAACTCAAGTCTACACGGCCCGACAAAATTCTCACTTGTCTTTTCCTACTAAACTCGTCCCATATAGCAAATACTTTTATCAGCACGGCTATTCATTCATTTGAAAACAGCTGCCAGTCGGAATTTGACTTACAAAAAAATATATTTAACAGCAAGGGCACATTGCCAATATCGTATTTATAGTTTACAAATTGCCTTTTTCCGTTCTCCATAATTGATTTAATCGATCACGACATTGAACCACAAATGTTCGGAGTTACTACTTTTTTTACAAAATGATTTCTTGCCAAACGTTTTCTTAACCCATCTCCTTTTTTCTTAAAAAAAAAAAAAAAAAATCTGGAAATATGCCCAATACTAAAATCGTGTGAAACAAGAATTCAAGCCTACAATATTAGGCAGCATTAAAACATGTCTTAGCAAAATGAAAATTAAAAAGGGATCAGTAAATTCAAGCAGTTTTCCTATTGAACTCTTTCCTTTTGATTTCTAACAAAAAAAAACCTACCAAAAATAAGGTTTCACTTGATTCTCGAACTTTTTGTCTAATTTTTTCAGGCCGTCTTAACTTATTTTTAAACAAAATTATCACTTTTCCAAACTGGACAAGACATACCATTTTCATATTTCTGGTCGGTACAATGTACTCACGGGAAATAATCCACGACAATAACAAAGAAATGTCTTATTCCGAAAAGTAATTTGCAATATGCCGGTGGATTTTTTTGACATTATACAAGCTTAACTGGAAAGAAACTTTCAAATACATCTGACATGTGTTTAAGCCAAGATAATGATTGTTTACCAAGTCGATAAGTCTAAAGAAGATCGAATGTCTGAAAGAAAATGAAAATATAAGTAATCATATCAGAACTAGTAGCCCAGAGTTAATATGGAAATTCTTTGAAAAAGATCCCGCGTTTTATCATCTCTAATGATTAGGAGAGAATTTGTAAGAAAGGTATCGATACGAGTAGTTTGTTGAGTAAAGAAGAAGGTATCTTCAGTGTGTTACAGGGAATAAAGGTTTCTTACACTTGATAAACTGTCGCACAGCAAAAAATGGAAAGACTTAAAATAACCAAATTAACAGAAAAGACAAAACAAAAGCAAAAGAGTAGCAATAAACTATAAGATTGCAAATTTTTTGTATTGCTTTCCAAACGCTTATTTTTCCTTTTAGAAGAAGAAAAGATAGGATTTAAAATATAGAAATTAGAAAAAAAAACCTGTTACTGTAAGAAAGAATTGTTAAAGTGAGCCCGAAAGCAATCATGGTAAAATTTTAACTTATGAATCTTTTTTCATCGCGGTCTCTTTGAGTCAAATTAAATCTGCATCACGGTGCTATCATACAATAATTGAAACTAAACAACAAAAAATATGCAGTTTCTTTTGGGTGAATTCTTCTTGATGGATGTTATTAGGCAGTCAAACAATAATTTTACAAAACAAGGTGAGATGAACCTTTAAGGCAGAGTCTCCTTTACGACTGCAGTTTATTTGTGACCCAACATTTGAAAAAAAAATAGCAGAAGAGAATTCTTTATGGCTGGATCTCTCTTCAAGACATTGTCAAACAGATCATGAGCAGCGCTTCAGATCAACCCAAAATTCCAAAACCAAAGTCACTAACTCCAAATAATGTTACGCTTGAGCCAGAGTTGTATTTCACCTTCTTGGGATCAAATCATGATACCCTCCACCTGCCAGCAATCCAATCCAGGGTTAACAATTCCAATTCCAATTCCAGCGACACTAACCAAGTGGACAATGTTCCCCACTTTGTTAAGTCAACTCCACAGTTATACAATTCCAATACCAAAGTCACACCGGCTAAAACACAAGTCTGTGACGTGTTTCCATTTCTTCTTCTTGGGATCATACATATCAACTGCCGTTAAAGTGGCAGGTGGAGAATACTCCTCACTGGCCGTTCGCCCACCAAACACATACAGCAACCCACTGCTAACTGCTACTGACAGTCCAGCCCTGGGGCTCTCCATAGGTGTTACTTCTGTCCATTGGCTTGTGTCCAGGTCAAACCTTTCAACACTAGCCAAGGCTCCTTCTGATTCATTGGAGCCACCTGTGGACAAAGCAGTTAAATAAATACGACTTGTTATTTACTGACTCTGAGGTCTGTACAATATTTAGAAAAAAATATTTGTACTGCAGCTGTACATGGGTTAAGGTTACTCTCAATACTAAAGTAAAAAAGACCTTATTCACAAATGCCAACAATTCTATGGATTTTCCCATTTATGCTGATTCACTTTCTTCGCCTTGATCACATACTCAAAATTCACAAAGAAAAATTTAAGCTTGAAATAGAGGAATGAGGGCCAATTATCATGACCATTTTTCCTTATGTTTGGCCGTTCTCCACTCTTACCAGTCAACTTGTTGTTTGACCTGAGCAGCGTCCAATGACGTAATTACCAGAATTATGTCAAGACGTGGCAAGGAGATACAAGACAGGCATATGATGTAGAATCTAGCAATATCTAGCAATTGTCAGCCAGGAGTAAAGCATATTATGACAGAAAGACTTCCTCTGCAGTCTTACTTCCTGGTGATTGCATACTCGTTAGAAACCTTTCAGAAAGGGGAGAACCTGGAAAGCTTCATTCACACTGGGAGCTACATTACCTAGACGGGAGAGATTATCCCCCAAGACCCTGACCTGCAGTCAGCTGGGAGTCAGTGCCTGAGCACCAATGCCTAAACCCAGTAGTAAACTTGATACAAGTCCCTCCTGCGATACTTCCCCCATCAAGTCCTGGCAAACTGGTTTGTACCTTATGGCACTCACACAAAAAGTCATGCCCTTTACTCCACAGCTGTAGTATATACCACAGCCCGCATGGATAAACCAGTACTGAACACTTTCATAGTCACAACAGATTGTTCCAAGCCAACTTGTTGCCTGCCTTCAGTGACCAAAGACTCTTGCAAACTTGGTGTTGGATTTAAACTTTAGTGACTAGCTACTTTTTAATTATAAACAAAAACATAAAACTGCATGAGGACTGACACTTCCCCAACTAGTTGTAATGTTGTAATGTCAGGACGACATTTCCATCTGGAGGGGAGTGTGTAGCATGTAGGATGAGAGAGACTGGGCTCAGTCCTGGAATACATATTATGGGATTAAAACATCCTATGTGCAGGCAAGAAGAAAACCATGAAAAATCGATATTAGCCTAGAAGAAAACATGTTGTTACTTTTTATTAGTTTCTGAGTGAGGTTGAGCAGAGTGTAACATTTGAAGGACTCTTTCAAAAAAGGTATTTATACAGAATACAGACAAATTCAGGCTCTCTCTAGTCAAATGACATAAAAACTCAAATTAGTGGGGTCACCTCTTAATTAGTGATCTGTGCATTAACTAAAAACTTTTCTTTTTTCAGTCACAAAAACCAGCCTCAAGATTGTATAAGAAAACCCACTTGAGATATTGGGAAAACACTTTGTAAATCAATTGCCTTCAGTTCATGATTTAAAGAGTTTTCTGGTGTTCTCGGAACATCCTGTATAGGTTACCATAATGGCAAACCAATAGAAAGTGCATTGATAATGTAAATTGGTTACAGTAAAGAGTTTAAAAGCTGATGATTTGAGCATTAGCCCTTTCTCTTCGGCTCTGAAAAAAGGCGTCAGGCCTCGACACTAACTTTTCAACTTACTAGCAAAGTGGCTGGTGACATCTTACATGTTATGACAATTTCAGTTTGTTTACTACCCAAACTTGCTATGGGAAATCGAAAACCACTGGCCAAAACCGAATTCTACTAGTCTGTGGCTAGTAGGCTACTGTTAGTGTTGAGCTCTGCAGGCTATAAATGCTTAAAATATCAGTTTTAAAACTCCTTAAAGTAGAAACTTACCCCTTCATTCAACAGAAAGTACAGTGAGACTACTACTTAATTCTTTGATTTGGACTTACCCACGGCATACAAGAAGCCACCTACTGTTGCAAGTCCCAGGTATGCCCTTCTGTGACGCATGTCTGGCTGCCTAATCCATGAATCACTGACAGGGTTGTAACACTCACACACTTTAAGCTCCTCTCCTAGGTCACTCAAGCCACCTTTAAATCATATGAGCAACAAAAATTGAGTGGCATTCATTGTGGGTATGACATGCTGATGAATGCAAATATTAGTCAAATATGATTATTACTTAAGATTGATTGCAGTAAACTGTATAATAGCCATCGATCAGCAATTGAGCCAAGTGGCTCATCTGGGCAGAACTTATCCCAACTTTCCTATAATTTAGTGATTAATAACAATTAATCACTTCCCTCTATAGGATGTTAAGTCCATCCCATGTTCACTGCAGAAAGATTTTGGTGCAATTATAATTGTTGTTATTATCACCTTTGTTAATTCATGATAGCCAGGGTGTAGGACATTTGTCATTCAAACCCAGCATTACCTATCTTGTGTGGCTTGGAATTGGGGAAGAAGGGGAAGGGAGATGCAGAAAATTGATAATCTGGTTGGAAGTACATGCATGTACTTGACTTAGACAAAGAGATTTCACCTTGAAGGATTTTTTTACCGCAGGAGCTTTAGTCATTGTGCTGAGCATTTTTGGATAGGAGGTGCTTCATTACCTTATCTTGCATCACTTAATGTTTTCTCCTTATCTCTGTTCTAGAAATTTATACAATCAAACAATTTATTAACCTTAACAATAGTGAGCCACTCTTGCCACCACTGGATTTAGTGCTGGTCAGGAAGAAATTAACATTGAAAATGCAAGGTCTTAGGGATAAGACCATGCCAACTCCTAAATTTGGGTTAGGGTTTGGGGTTAGGGTAAGGGTTTAGGTTTTTTTTATCCTGGTTATAAAATCTGCATAACAACACAAAATTAATGGTATAAATTTGAGGCTGAAGAAAAAAAATTCCTTCTATCTACAATAGAAAAGAGGTCATTGCAGTATGTAACGTGTAAACTAAAGAAATTTTCCTCTTATATTGACAGAAATAACTGATATTAGAACAGCTTGCATGAGTTCCAGCTATTTTTGTTATTAAAGGCTGTGAAATTATGAAATCCATAAACCCTGGTTTTCGAAAACCACATCATTGTTCAACACAGATTTTAATAAAGATGACAATGAACTTACCAGCCACATAAATCAATCCATCCATTTCAGCTACACCAAGATGAAACCTCTTTGTTTCCACCTTACCAACAACTTCCCACTGATCAAGATCTGGGTCATATCTTTCAATATTTTCTGCAATCTCTGACCCCACCCAACCACCAATCACAAACATAAAGTCCTCAACGACACATACACCACAGGCTACCCTGGGTGCAGTCAATGGTGCAATGACTGACCATGAATTTAACACTGGGTCATAGCATTCCACAGTGTCATAAATCAAGGAATCATTTTCACCACCAATAGCATATATCAGCCCTCCAATTGATGCCACAGCATGACTACTACGTGCAAAGCTCATCTGTACTGTGGTGAAGCTGTCACAGGTTTGTAAAAAGGAGTCAAACTTCTCCACAGTGTAAAGAGAAGATGTGTCACTCCATCGCCCTCCCACATGCCGGCTGTAACCTCCAATGATAAAAAGGCATTTTCTAGAGGCCCGTCTTGGTTGAGTGTGTACCCGCTGTTGGCCTCTAGTTAATGATTGGTAATTTCGGTACCCATCAAGAATTCCTGCCAGCATTCTTTTAATACTTGCACTCTGACACGTGACAAGGTATTGTTCAAGGAATTTAGGGGAAACCAAAGGTAGTCTAATGCGTTCCAAAATATTTCCCAAAGCTTCTCTTCCTCTAGATAAGTCATGCACTACCCACCGCATGGCTGCTTCGAACACCTGCTCCTCCGATTCAATTTTCAGGTCTTCTGATTCTAACATTTGTAGCAAAGCAGTTTTAGTGAGTTGTAAAAACTCGTCCTGTTTGGAAACTTCGACAAAGTTTCTGTGAATGAAATCCAATGCCGATTTTGATAATGTGAGACACGAATGCGCGTCTGAAAACGTATAAATCCCGACGCAATTCGACGAGTCGAGTTCACGTTTCAAAAAATCGCAACAAATGATTTCGATGTCTTCGATTTGTAACATCTTTGATGCCGGTAAAAGCTGTTGGACATTATCCTCACTGACCTCCACTTTGCCAGTGTAGATAAATTCTAGGATGACACCAAAGATATCAGCTTGAATACCGTGAATTTCGACATGATCTGCAAAGCTTTCTGCCATTCCGCTCGTGAACATAACTTGGAAGTAGGCACTTGAGGCAGACAAAACGTTCCGATGAACAGGAAATTTTTTGCCTCCGACTGACAAAGTTGCGTCACACATGGAATTCTCTTTCTGTAATAAATGCAGCTTATTTAAAACCTTGAATGAATGTTCCTTGGCAAATGATATTTTATCTATTTTCACCGTTCGATGGTTCTCCATTTTGCATGGAATTTTGTTGTTGTCTCCAAAGTTTGCGGGCTCAATTGGGAATAAAGTACAGGGGAGGGGTGAGGCGAAGCAATAGTGGGTGTAACTGGGAAGTGGAAATTTACTACCAGTTAAGGTAAAAGTTCGGTTTACCCTGCGTGCCAACCAAGGTAACAAAGGTTTGGATGACCGATACATCCGCTTCGGGTCGCATAGAATTTCACATCCTGCGGTGTCGGGATTGCGCCAGTCTCATTCGATCACGTTTTCGAGACCAGAACGTACGTCTTGATTTTCTAAAGTTCTCCTTCTACCATTCTTCAACAAAATTTCCGTTTAATAGAGTTTCGAACCAGAATTGGTTTTTCGGCCACGACCACGCACGTCTAACGCGCCTTGTCTTGCGAAGGGCAATTTGTAGTAGAATTCATCGCTTTCTCCTCGACTTCTTTAGGTGCTGCAAAAGTAAGAGCTGCTGCAATCTCGACTCCTGGGTTTGCTGATCATGAACAAGAAAATAAAACGCGAGGACTACATGAGCCACAGCTTCTCTTTTAAACGCGAGTATTTTATGCGTGGATTTAGAATTTGCCATGGATTTAGATTGTGATTGATGACAGATTTACCTTAGTTATTTGAGCCAGTATAAACACTGTACAAATGTACCAAGGTTTAGTCAGTTAATGTTTACCTTGGTAAACGCTTGAGTGTAAACACGGTGTAAGTAAACCT